TAATAGGCACGAGCAGGTAGCTCGTGTAACCTCAAAATCGGGATAACGCTTAAACTGCCCCATATAACTCCAAGTTAACAAAAGATAATAAACCAAATAAAAAAATACAAATAACAAACATAATACTTACAACACACCATATAAATAAACAAACTTTGAATATTATTATAATTGAATTCATCTTTAATGTTATATTCCTAGTATCAAGTCCGTGACTGACTTCTTTACAAGCTGTGCCTCTCCACGTAGCAGATGTTGCCCGTTCGATAGCTGGGAGAATCTCATCCCCATCGACATAGGGTTTAAAATTATTCGCCGATGCCCCTGATTCGTAATTGAAATACTTCTTGGGTGTTTGCTTATTGTTGGATTGATTTGTTTAGGGCCAGCCATATGGGTTCTGGAATTCGGAATGAAAATCGTAACGGAGGGGGGACGTTCAGCACAATTTTTTTTAATATAGTTTACGATTTTGTTTAAAAAATATTTTGTTATTTTTTATCAGCATACAGTGCCTTATATAAAAAACATATCTGTACCCCGGAGGTAAAGGATACTATGTCAGAATTTGTTAATTGTTCAGGAGAGCAAATTTTCTTCAATTTTAAGTTATAAAAATTTGGTTCTTCAAAGCTAATAGAAATTTCTTAATGAAACCCCTACAAATTATTAATAGTACTCTTAAGCAAATGGAAATAGTGATCTTGGAACTTTAATTATGATAGTTACCTTAAAAAATTCATATTTTGTGGACATAGTATTGTATACCTCTAGGCTTGATATGTGGTCGATGGTCGATATTATGTTCAACAATAATATAAGAGTATTATTGTTGAAAATTATTATCATACATTATTCAATTTGAAATATTGTTTCTTTATGTTGATTTTATGGCAGGTATAAGAATACAACAAGCGTGTGATAGGACAATGATTTATTAAAAAACAAATCATGTCAAAATTTTAATAATACACTACATACACAGTACAGGATACTTTCTTTTAATGAATTAATGTGACAAAACGAAATAATAATTATGATGAAAGCATTATTTTGAAGCAAATCTGAATCACTGTCACTATTGATATCTGGGTAGTCTCTATTATAGGGTAGGTCCCTTTAAAATCCATGGAAATAACTGGGAATAAAAGTTAAGAGAGAAATTAAGTCATTGTATTTTTGTTCGGATATTGGAACAACCTTCTTTTGTGGAAGGCTGATGGAAATGTAGGCCCACATCCATTCAATCTTGAACTACTTCTTGTATTCCTTTTTAGGTCAACTGCTTGGAACTCTCCATCAAATGATGTTCTTAGGAAAATCATTCCAAGATTTTCCTGCCTCAACTGTATGTGTACACAATTTGACATAAGAAATTTCTCATTCTCAATGGTTTTTTTTCTATGTATAAATGGTGTGTTTGGACCCTTATACAGTGCATCAAATTGATTAAAATCTTCTTGTTCCATGTTGTATACATGGTATTTGTTAGAACTCTGACGTACCATTTGCTGCCAGTCCCAGGGAGTGATGATTGTCAACTTGTCAAGTTCTTTCCGTTTTTTTTTATCAAGGCATGAAGAGAATCAGCCTCCATATGTGTGTGCCCTTTAAGGAGGTACTTTACGTTGACACACTGTATTTGACGATATTTTTTCATAATCCAGAAAAAGCACAACACAATGAAAATATTTTTATTTTGCTCAAAGCAATTGTCGGACCAAAGTATAATTTCGTTAACATCAGAAGTAGATATAACACTGTTGGCCCATTTTAAAAAAGCAGATGAAATTTCCTCTCCACCTCGGCCACCTTTGGACTCATCCCACATGATGCAATGTGCACTTTGATCTGACAAATCTTAGAGTGTATAATTTAGCGTCCAAAGATATGATATCATGTCCACATGGTATTAAAAACTCCTGAACGTGAACAAGGAAAATGGACGTGATATATTTTATTACCTTATCTTACTTATTTTTGGGAATAGAAGTAGTATCATGTACCACTGTATAGAGCAAAAATTCTACATTATGGACATGGTATTAAGTCAATTTCATGAAAAATGGACATAGTATCCTTTACCTCCGGGGTACAGATATTAAAAAAACATTTCAAACATTAAAGTGTCATAGAAATTATGGCGCAGTCTTCTGGTATAACATTCTTAAGCTCCTGAAGATGCTTAAACTTGGATTTATTAAGTATTTTTGAATAATTTAGTGCAGAATAAGCAGGTATTTCAGAAAGAATCTTTTTTGGTCTAGATGGTAACTCGCTCCAGTCATCATCAAATTTAAGTTTGAAGTCGATAGATCCATTTACATTATAACGCAATGCACGAATATCTGTTACAGTTGGTTCCTTTGGTATTCTACCTGGACGAATACTAGTATACCTTGGAAAACAAGATTTTGAATCTATACTTTTTACTTTTGACCTAGAAAAGTTATCAGGCGAATTCAGAGATGATGGGATATGTTAACGATGCATGCATTTACATTAATAATTGTGATCTTAAATCTAGTTACAATTCTTTAAACAACTCTTTCTTCTTCGATTTAATCACTTGTGTCATGAGAAAGATTTAAACATTTCATTAAAAAATTCAAATCATGTATATATAATATTTTTTAACATAAACTATCTACAAAAATGTATCTAACATCTTTAAGTATTGGCAAAATCTACTCTATATGTGATATATCAATCAATATTACTATCTTTGAGTATATAAAAAGTAGGGATTTACGACTGAATAACGTATTTTTGTGAACCGAACCCAAATGATTCCCGAGGGATTTACCGTTATCTACTTTGATAGATAGACACTTCACTGTGAAGAGGGTGGAATTTTGTTATGTAATTATTTTCTTCCTTTTTTTATAATGTGATAAATACACACTACTGAAGTTGTTTTTATATGCTGAAGTTCAATTATACATATAATAATATATCCGAAATATATCCGTTCTATTTTTCTTTGTGTGTACAACTAGTATAGTAGTATAGTCTACCTTATATTGTTCATTGAATCGTTAATTTATTCCTGATACTGTATCACTGTCAACATGGGCGTATCTAACACTCTGAAGATGTTTATAGAAGCTTTTCCTTGTCTTAGTATCTATTGTTCTAAGGTGCATAAAATGCTATCACATTCAGAGGTATGGATGACATCCACATACCTTCGATTATTCATGATAATTTCATTTATTCTATCTCTTTCTAATCAAACTTGGGGCAAAGGCGGCTTCAGGTATAGCATCTGGTTAAAGCGGATAATTAATTATGGTGGCTGCAAAACTGGAGATGTATGATGGTGTCATTACCTTTAGCCAAACTAGAGTGAAAATTAGCAAAAGCTAGCAAACCTTATTTGGGTAATCGCCTTGCCAGGGTTTGTTATTAAAAACTGTAGACTTCTTGGTCCCAAAATGCCTCAAAGCTTTTAAACGATTTGTCCGTAGCTTGCAACTCCTGTGAGGTGTTGCTTGGAAAATAAAATAAAGTTATGTTCATGCGGTTAGCTGCCTCAACTACAGAAATATCAAGGTGACTTTTAGTTCCAACAAATATTAGTAGCGTAGGACCAGGGTTGAAAGAAGAGAAAAGTTCAAGCCACAAAAGAAATGCTTCGCATGTCATACTACCTTTATTTGTGACAATAGTTTTTGAGCCAGGGAAAAGTGATCAGACCATACAGGTTCAAGTCTTTAGCCTTTCAAAAGCACAAAAGGCCGTACATGTTGACACGCTTTCTTTGTGCTCGGGTGCATAATCTGCATCCTTCTCGTCCATATTATATATGCTACCAGGTTTATCAAATAGGTTTAGTATTTCTATGGTATCTCTCAATTTATGAAAGAAGTCATCAACGGTTGTTTTATTCATTTTTTGGACTAGAGCCATATTCGTTTGTTGCGCTTTTCGCCTAGCTACGTCTTGATGCCTGCACAAGGATAACTTTAGCTAGCTTTATTTAAGTCTTTAGACAACAGATTTGGTGTATATGATTTATTGTTGGGATTAAAAATAAACGCACAGAAAACAGATGCCTAGACTATCAATTGATGATCTGGAACTGGAAGGTGTGGACATCTTCATCTACCTGGGCTCGCTGCTAACCAAAGACAACAATCTCAGCAAAGAAATTAAAAGAAGAATAGTGCTTGCCAATAAGTGCTATTATGGCCTGAGGAAACAGATGGCCCCAAAACTACCCAGAAGAATTAAAATTACCATATATAAAACGCTAATAAGGTCAGTGTTGACATATGGGTCAGAAACGTAGTCACTTACACAGAACGACCAAGAACTGCTTAGACCTTTCCAGAGAAAAATTCAAAGGAAAATATATGGAGGAGTCCAAGAACAGGGTTTGTGGAGTAGGCGCTACAACTTTGAGTTATACGGAAGTTTTGGGAAACCTGACGTTGTAAAATTTATTAAATTAGCACGCCTTCAATGGATAAGACATGTAATTAGTGGGAAGACGATCCAGAGAAAGACCAAAACTTAGGTATCAAGATAACGTAGAGGATGGAAGATTGTTCTGAAGAAGGCTTTAGCTCATGACGAACTGTAATGCCACTGATGGTGATGATATGATTTATTGTAGCGTAAGAAAACACACGTTTCATTAGAATCTTGCTTGTAATATGCTTACCTAGCTCAACTAATCTGTGAATTCTTTCGACCATTCGATCATTTTCTTGTGCTCCAAACAACAATAGTGATCTTTCCAGCTTTCTTACGGGATTTTGTGTTTTGTAATGAAGACCTAGCGTAGAGCTTAGCAATATTAGGAACAGTGGCAATATTTAGCGCACCTACTTTGTTCAGCAACGAAGTTGGCTACATTAGAAATGACATTACAAACCAGCATAACTACCATAACTAAATAGAAATATAAATAAATATAAAAAATCTGTGTTTTATCTTTATTTTGGTTTTCAATGCACATTGAAACTTTTATTTATTAATTTTTTTTGTTGCAGATCTTATTCCTTATCCAAATGCTAACGATAAAGTCACACACGAGTTTCTTCAAAAGATCGTGGATGTTCTTTTGGACTACGTGAAGCAACAAAATGATAGAAAGGAAAAGATTCTTGATTTCCACCATCCAGAGGAAATGATAAAGCTATTAGATCTTAAAATTCCGGAAGAAGGAGTATCCCTAGGACAGCTCGTTCATGACTGCGCCACAACTTTGAAGTACCAAGTTAAAACTGGTAAGTAATATGACTTCTTAATTAAAAAAAATAGTGCATGTATATAAGTAATTTATGCATTCCAGTGGTATAAAAGTATTGTTGACTGAAATCATAAAAAGAAAATATTATGAAAAATATTATTTCTAAAGATGTAAAATGGTGTTTTTTATTTCGACTAACAATATGCAGTTTTGAAATGTGACTTTATTATATTATGCTAATAACGGTTAAACTCATATGGAGGGATGGTGTATCGTGACCACATTATAGAAGATTTCCATTTATTTTCATTTTCCATTATATTAAAATATGCCAGTAAAGCGTCTTCGGTAACTTGCCGTACTCCTCTTGTATCGCACCACTCTTGGACGTGCTTGTACGCTAACCGATACTTTATTCCGGACTTGGAGGGCCCCAAACGTGCTACTGCATCATTAGCCACGGACTCAATTTCGTTTAGGTTTTCCATTTTCGCACTAAATTTGCGCTTGCGGTTGCAACAACAATAAGCTGTCTTTAATAATTGCAAACAACTGTCAAACAACTGTAACCAGGGAGACGCAAATCCCACCGACGACTTAATTATTTTAATTTCTAACATCTAGACGACTTTGATAGTTGTCACAATTAATTTCGAGTAAAAATAGCATATGAATTGTACTATTTATAGTTGAAAATTGCTACGTTTGAAGAAAAAATAGTATACTTTATTCGGCAAAGAAGCGACTTTTCTTGACTTGCCCTTTATTATATCGGGCGCGTCAAGAAAAGTCATGCTTCTCCGCCTCATAAAGTAATATACTATTATTCTTAATGCATTTTAGGTATTTAAATGTCGACTTTAATCTTAGTTAAGGTAAACAAGACGTCTTTAAGGAATATCCAGTGTACCAAAATGAATCTAGAAATTTTAAGTGTTCTACAACTTTGTGGAGAAATTTTGCAAAACTGTTGATGCAAACTGGTTATATTGTGCACTTAACATAGTTATAGCAACTAAAAACCTTTCAAAAAACCTTTTTTACTTGTATCTATACCATCATCTTTTACCATTTTTAAATATTCAAATTCTTCCCATTGCATGGAAACCAACCACGTGGAAGCAAACAACCATCCATCATGGAAGACCTCGTCCACATGTAGACATACAGGAATAATCACATCAAGCGCATCAAAGTATTTAAATAAAGCACACAGCTGCCTATTTAGATATAGTTGATTTTCATCAGTAGTTGAGAGGGTCTACGTTTCACATCCATGTGTGACCACTGGTCTAATTACTGTTTTGTAGATTCTAAGCTTAGACTCGCGATTCAGTAACTTACTTTTCATTAAGTCTTTGTATGCATAAAAGCACTAAAGAATCCGTTCTTGACTGATGTTGTTGTCATTTATTATTGAGCCTAGGTAGGTAAAAGTGGAGGCATATTTGTAGGTATGATAGTTCTATAACTTTTTCGCTTAATACCCTTTTGCTGCGGCTTATTATGGCATATGTGCATATTTGCATTGATCTTGTATTAATACATTAAATTCAGAAGAGCCAAATATTACTATTATTATTAATGCGTATTTCGATGTGCATTTCATTTATTTATTCCCAATAATTTGCTTCATTAAAGCATTAAAACTAAAATTAGCAAGTATATATAATAATGTAACAATATACATTTTTTGACAAATACAATAATTTACATAACTATAGCTAGATAATAATTAAAGGACTATTATCATGCAATATTATTCAACATGTATAATACTCAACGTCCACACACCACTGCAATGGTCTCCTACTAGCCAAATAATGAAATCAAATGTTCTGTATCTCCCTCAGGCGACAGAACAAACATTTCCTAAACAGTCCTGTAGGAGATAGTAATTGAATCAGTGGCAGATATCTGCGGGCGATCTATTAACAGCCTATTGAGACCGGCTGGGGGTCTGCGGTGCCGATATCAAGCCGATATTGTTGCCACCGCCTTGAAGAATTTCCGGTGGCGAGGGAGGGCTGGAAATGTCAGAAAAATGATATACCGACTGATAAGGCATCTTTGTGGGAATGGTTTGAATACAATTTCATTTTCACGAAAGTAGAAAATATAATTTATTTAGATTTCATTTCAAGAAATGTATGAGGAACACCAATTTATTTTTTAAATATCAATAATTTATTAGTTTATCGATCACACTTTTTTTTACTTTTGTAATTAATTTTATTAACATGATCAAAAAGTATTACATTATCACAACCTACAAGAAACTTAATGAATTAACCAACTATAGGCAAACATACGAGATATTGTGTTACAGAAATCGGTTGAAATATTGGGCAAAACCAAGTCAAAAAAAAAAAAAAAAGAAATCATTGCTCAATCAATCAAGAAATTAAGTAATACTATTACAAATGGAAGAAAGTAAACTGAATTTTTCAAGTATCCCTAATAAAAATAATCTTTAGGATTGAAATCGGGTGAACGTGGAGGCCATTCAATTCTACCTTGTCTACCAATTTATCGTTCAGGAAATATCTCATCTAAATATCGCCGGACATTTACACCAACTATCTGACGTTAAATTTCTTTCGACAAAAAATGACACAATTGAATAAGTAACTAGTATATCTGACCATACATTTAATTTTTGTGGTCTCTGAGTATGGTTTTCACGCATTCAGCCTTTAGTGTGAATTTACGTCACACCAGTACCTTAAATTGTGTCGATTTTCACTTCCACACAGTGTAAAAGTTGCTTCATCGGAAAAACATATTCTGTTTACGAGATTTTAATAATTTTCAATTTTATCCATCATTATCTCAGTAAACTCTAATCTACGACCAAAGTCATCTTCACTTAATATAATAAATGTAATAATAAATATAATAAATGTAATAAACGTAAGACTGAAAAATGACCTACATCATGTACTTGTGCAACCCTGCCTGGGGATGTATGTGGATCTTCAACAAAACTTTGCTTATATCTGAAGTTTTGTTGTCATTGATAACTCGTTTCGGTCAACCTGATCGGTGTCTATCTTTTACTTCTCCAGATTCCTCAAATCGTCTTACAGTTTTTGTACCGTCGTCTTATGAATAGGAGAACGGTTTAGAGAACGGCATTTTAGAGAAGCAATTTAAATTGCAGAACTTTTTGAACCACAACTACTGTCAATTTTAGTTCATAATTTAAATGGTGAACAAATATCAAAATCACAGCATTCTCCATTTAAATATTTAAATTTATTAAAATCTACATATTTTGCACTGTTTTATGTATTTAAGATCTTTCAGACTACATAAAATCAAGTGAACATATGGTTGAACTCGTATTGAATAGCTGAACTCGTGTGAAATTCACACTGAATGCGTGAAAACCATACTCAAAGACCACAAAAATTAAATGTATGGTCACTTATAGTAGGTACTTATTTAATTGGGCCATTTTTTATCGAAAGAAATTTAACGTCAGATAGTTTTTGTAAATGTTCGGCGTTATTTAAATGAGATATTTCCCGGATGATAAATTGGTAGACAAGGTAGAATTGAATGGCCTCCACGTTTACCCGATCTCAATCCTAAAGATTATTTTTATTAGAGATACTTGAAAAATTCAGTTTACAAAACTTAACCAGCAAGTCTTACATATCTAAGGCAATGAATTATCGATGAATCTCGAATAATTTCTAGACAATCATGGAGAAATGTGGTAGACGCATTCTACCATCGATTAGAGTGCTGTCAACTCACAAATGGAGCACATATTGAACACTAAATAACGTAACCATTATGTTAAAAATATTCTAAACTATCAATTGTTACGTTTTAATGTATTTGAAAATAGTTAGTATTAAAAAATGTATTGAAACAATTTAGGCGTTGCCAGACTTCTATTTTATGTATTTAAGACCATCCAAACTACATAAAATCATAAGTGTTACATATGGTTGAACTCGTATTTAATAGGAAATTCCAATAATGACTGAATATACAGGGTGATGTATTTGAAAAACCAAAGTTACTAATAATATAAGAGAAACTGAAAATCTGGCAACATTGCAAATACCAAATATGGAATCTCCGTATCCCAAAATAGGTGTACCACAAATTTTTTATAATTATGTCCAGTAATTTACGAGATAATTAGCCGTTTCCAGACTTCTGGGCCACTCTCTATATGTATGCATACATAATTTATCGTTGTTATAAAAGTTTTATCTGACAACGAACTTTTATACTTTATACAATAAAACGAACAAATTTCAAATCTGACGAGAGGATTTTCAACCATCTATTTAACCAGATGACAAAGCTTAATCAGAACCAAACAGTCCCGCAACATCTGCGCCCTTATACAATTCCCTTTTTAAAGCACTCATCCAAGCTATGACGCCGCTCTGGTACAAAAAACAAAGCATATTTGCGAAACTTTATAGCGAGTGAGTATTGAAATAACTCCGGGACAGATTGCGGAGGTTTATGCGGGAGCTTTGCCGGCGCTTAAAATGCCATCATATCCGTGGGCTGTATCAAAGTGGGCTTTCGCATACCTAATTTCTGTCTCTACTGCATCTGGGGCCACCGGCTATATACTATGTCTGAAAAATAGCGAAGTTTTAGTAATGAAAGTTTTTAGTCAAAAAGAGTTCAATGGTCCCTGAAAATGTACACTAGTGAAAAGTTGGCCAATATTGCAAAAGTTTTAGAGTGTCTGAAGTTTTATTTTAGGGAAGTGATCGTAATACTAAAAAAAGTAACCAAACTAAAAATTTTTTAGATAGAAATATTCAAACATACTAAAATATTTCTATCGAAGTATGAGTAAAAACTAGAAAAGAGCCTTTTTGTCATATAAATTTACTATCTTTAACGGGAATAAATCGTGATTTACTAGAACGACTTCTGAAGTGAAAATTGAAACCTCAATACTCCGGGAGTATTGGATTTTAGGAAGTGTAAGACTTCCAAATTCCAGAAGAACTGGAAGAGAGGATATGAAACTACTAAAAATACTAAATAGAA